GATATTGTTAGGACGAGAGCCGTTGCTACACCGTATGCTTTTTCGATCCGTCGTGGATGCTTTTCCACGCATCTTGAGAGAATATCGTCACATTGAAATAGTTGATCAACAGGTGACGCACGGGACTTGTTTCATGGGTTTGCCAATGCACGATCAGAATATTGATCAATCAGCCAACTTGCTCGCATGACCGTTGACAGTTCTCACATTCTGAATTGCAGATTGCGAACTATGGGATCTGCTGCGCTCCATATCTGTCAGGTGGCCGGAGGTACTGGGGACGGATTCTATGAATTCGGCATACACTGTTGGGACTATGCCGCCGGTCTTCTCATCGTCCGTGAAGCCGGTGGTTTTTGCTGTAACTATGATGGTATGTCCATGTATTTTCTCGATGCAAACAATTCTTTGGGACTGAGTGAGTAGGAGGTGTGGTTCATGGTTACTTCCTTTTGCTACTGATTTCATCCAAGCAACTTGTCTGAATGAGTAGCCCAGTTGGATCACATTTACTGCTAACTAACCAGCTTAACAGGTCCCTCTGATTCTGTCTAGAATACCTGATTACCTGAGAAAAATACTATCTTTTGCCTATTTAGTCGCCTGTTTTTTGCATCTATGATTTCGGCTGCTGGTTTGTAGCATGCTGGGTCACTCTCCGATCCTGGATTTGCCAACTGATGGACCCTTGCGTAGGATTGGTAATGCCATATTCGATTTGTGTTGGACCGCGTGTGTAACCAGCTGAACGTCCTGTATACGGTGTAAGCTCGTGGGAAGAAGACAGGGTGAACGTGAGAAGACGGTTCTGTTGCTATCCGGACGTCCTGGCTGTCCATAGTTGTTCAACCTTGTGGCGATGACGTATTCAAGGACGTAGAAAGACCACTTTTAGGGAACTCCAAAAGTCGTCTTTGTTTGATGAGAAACAGATTTCCTTACGAACTGAATAGTTGTTTATTTTGTATGATTTCGGGTTTACGATGCCTTGGGTACTTACTTCATGTCGTTTATGCACAACACGTGGCTATTTAAGCCTTTAATGGCAGGTGAATCTTACTTCCATATCGAGATCACTTACCAGACATTGTGAATATCAGAAACTGGTGGCCGATAACGTCTCAAGTATCTTAATTTTGTTTGACCTACGTCCACCGTAGTGGTTAAATGGGTAAAACGCATAATTTCCAAATAGCTCAATATGTACTCTAACCACCCGGTTGGGAACGGGAAAACCAATCGACCATCTAGCCGACAAAGTGGAATTTGTTTCCGGTTCTTCGTTTCACCCATTATTCTTTGAAGCTCTGCTAGGACCCTTTGTGTTAGTTTATGGACTCTTGTTTCACTCAAAACAGAAATGACAAGAGTAAACTGTCTTGTTTTCCGGTGAGACATACTCGTACTTTGTGTGTGTGCCAGGTAAGCCGGTGTAATCTGTCTCCCAATAACGAAGGACAGCAGAAACGGTAGAAATGTCACTATGAACCACATCCCATCCAATCATATGGGTTTGCAGGCGGCTGATATGGTGATATGGGGGCGAGATGGCCCAAGTAGTTAGAGCGCGAATTTACTGACAGAAAGGTCTATGGTTCGAACCGACCTCTGCCTATCGACTTCCCCTGTCTAGGCTTGGGCAACGTGGCAGTATCCCAGCCGTCGTGCAGCCTTCCGGTGGCATGGCAGTTGGGCACCGGAAAGGGTGCACAGCTGGACGGATATGGTGCCATTACCAGGATGCCCTTATGTCCACCCTCAAAAAGGCGGCCGTGAACGTGAAAGTGCTCGGGAATTACCCAAACATAAAGGTGTTCGTTTCTTTCTATCTACAGAGTAAACTAAGATTTCCCAAAGTGGATATTTATATTTGGAAAGTAGTCCATCTAAGAGGATCCTTCATCCACTTTAATAGGACAGATTTGGGAATTAAAAATCGCTAGTAGTCTGCATATAGATCCCATAGCTGGAACGACTTTCGTAGATACCTACAGTGTGGGCCAGTTCAGCACGATTGAGGCATGCACTTACGGCAAATCCGATTGTCCGGAAGTCCATTGAATCGAGTTATTTTCAGATCCGGGTGCATCGAATCCACCGGTGTATGCTTCAGGTAAATTGGTGGACTACACTACCAACACACCCACACAGTGTTGCGCAGTTATCATGGTTTGGTTTGCCTTGGGCTATTCGATGGTGGTCACGGAAAGTCACTTGTGACACTGCCACCAGTGTGTGTTATAACGCGCCGTTCACATACCCATATGGTGACAGAACGATAGTTAGATGTTGTTATGCATTAAGGATGGGACACAACAGCAAAGTTTTGTACGATGTTCCGGTTTCGCTTCGCTTTGTATCATTAGGCGCACTCTACAGATTACGGCAACAAATAAATTTAAAAATGGAAAAATTACCGCGTCAAGACTTGCCCTGCAGTTTATCACGGTGGTCCCAACATGACGACAAAATGCTGTTTCTGATTGCTATCGTATGGGAATAACAATGATCCCAGCAAATGTATTCACCGATGTAACCTGTAGTACGTTGCCGACTAGACAGCAAGATAAATCCGCTATATCGCGCGAAACTGCGCTCTTGTGTTCCATATTCAAGCTCGCTTCTGGAAGAGGCTGATGGTCGCGGAAAGTCAGTTTTTCAACCTGCGCCGGTGCTCGGTTTTTCTACCAAATCAATAATCTGGCTGATAGACCACTGCAACTGATCCAAGTGTGACTTCATCTCTGATCGTCTAAACGTCAGTCCAGAAAATTTTCTGGGCCCAAAATAAATGTGCATTATGTACAGACAGCCATGGCAATCTACCTTACATTTCCTTCTTCAGGCTGAATGTTTGTATTCATTCTAAAACTGAGTTCGTGGACGGGTTCAAATGGACAGGCAGTTTCAGACAATGGTTGTTTTAGGGTTATTTGACGGAATTATTTCAAGCTTGCATTCACTTGCATTCTGCGTAAGCATCGGATGGAAAAACTAGGTTCGTTGCTTCAGCCTCAAACCTGTCGCGAATGTCATTGAGCGTTCGAATGCCACGGTCTCTCAGGACTACGTACATAAGAGTTGCTTCCGTCAGGTTGTTTCGTTCATATGAAAATTAAATTGCTTCGGAAGTGCTCCACAAAACATGAAAATCTTCAAAGTTTGTACGTCCTTTTGGATGATTCCACTCCGCGTTTGATCTAGTTCCTTCAGACGACAGTGATAGTTTCCTGTCTGAGACCCGTCTTTGACCATCAGGGATGTGGATATTCAACTTTTTAGGTACATATACTGCAATGTCTCTTGCACGTATACAGTTTGCGTTGGAAAAACAAAACAGGCCGCCAAATGGGCTTCAGCAAGTGACGGCTAGTGAAAATCCGCTTCCCACTCAGGCCATCATTTCGGGTCGAGCAGAGATGTTGATGTGCTCTGTTTATTCTACCTCCCAGTGTATTTGCTGACTAGAATGAATGAGTCAAACTGAAGTCGTGCGCTTCAGCTGTTCAAAAACCCTCATGAAAACTGGATTCTGCCGCTGTATCGTAAAACGGGGCATCATATGGAAGGTCTATGAACTAGAATTGGTTTGTTTTTTAGGTTACGTTTTTAGGCCCTTTGGACCGTATTTGTGCGATCAGAGAGGAATCCAGTATAGAGTTACTAGTCAGATTCGCGAGGTTCAGGGCTCAGTTGCAGGAAACATCTCTGGCATACTGAACTGACGAATGTATATCGTGCGTTCTCGAGGTTCCATGCATCCGATTATTTCAGGAAACTTATCAAGTTATTTTTCCAAGAATGCTATGAAATCACGCAAAAGTCATGAGTCAAAATAACTGAGACTTTCTGTTCCTATGTACGAATCACTGTCCCGCAGTTCAAGGGCATTGTTGATGTTGAGAATCGGTTCTGGTCCTTATAAGATACGCTCGCGTCGCTAGTGCAGTCACATGAGGTGTTAACGGTTCATCAAGCGTCAATTGAATGACCGACTAAAAGGCGAGTGAATACACAAAGATTTGTGATCAGGGAAGTGGCTATGCATGGAGCCAGTGTGTTTTGTTAAATACTGAGAACACTAAAGGCGAGGCAGTCTATCTCCAGACAATCGAAACAGTCCACATCGGCTTTGCGGCTTTACTCAGAGCGCTTGAGACGTTGCTAGGGAGAGGGAAAAAGAGGTGGAATGTATCTTTGTAAGGTATTGGGTCTGTAACAATTTGAACTCTTCAGCCTTCTTCTCAGCCCAATTTTATGGTATTCTCGTGTTTAGCCGAAATGTTTATGAGATAAAGGGCACAAATACTTTTGAACGGCAAATACTCAGTTGATCTTGAGCCCTGATTTTATTGCCTCCAGCATCCACAATATGATTCTCGACACACGGATAGTGGATTCCTTTGGTAGCCAGTTGCAATTTTTCTTTCACGTGATCGTTGCGTCATGTGTGTGTCATTCTGTCAACCCTCGCAAACAAATAACAACACGTAGATGCATCGTTGGGGCAATGTCTTACTCTCGCCACAGCTATCATTCTTCACTGAAACTGTAGGACCACCGAAGTAGACCCAAACACATTATCTTGATTTCCCATCTATTTTAGGGTTCTCCTAAGAAAGATTTCCCAAAATACCCTGCCTGAGGGTAAGATGCGAACTATGACTTTAGCGTCACACCCAACTGAATCTCTTGTTTATGAAATTTGGTGGTCATTATAGCGAACAAGGGTCATCAGACCCCGGGTCACGTTGGTTTAAGGTAGTGAGACTAAAGTCCAAGTCTTAGCAAGGAAAGGTGGGGCTGGCGCTGAATCGCCACTGCTTCAGCACTCAACATGTAACGATTGTTTAGTTTTCTACCTGATCCATGTGATGCCACGCCCTGATCAGATTACACTATTTTTGGAGTTATTTGTCGGTTATTCATTGACCAACATTGCCCTTTTGCGCGCAATTTTGAGGTTGCGTAGCGACTTCTAGGCGACGTAAATCTTGCAAATGGAGACTATGATTATAACGTGATTCCCTGGATCAACACCCACTTACATCGAACACTCCCGGGGGTTCTTTCTTGGCGGAGAACCACTCTCCCAGACAAAGCAAACATACCCAAAGCTTTGGAAATGATGGAATAAAAAATTTGATGCTGATAAGGTGGTATTCCATCGCGCCCTCAAAAACGGCCATCTGTTCATACAAATCGATCGTATGATTGACAAGAGTCACTATTCTATCCAAAGCTGGTGCCACCGCACTTGAGAGACTACCGTCCACAACTTCGAACTTAAACTAGCCTTCGAGTTCAAGCAAACACCTGATCTAATTGTAACCTATACTATCTTTCCTGAGTTCAACAAACTTTTCCGTTTGTATTTTCATTATTTACTGACAATACTCTAGTAACTTCTGGCTAGT